GAGGGGGAGGAGGAGGAGGAGGAGGAGAAGGAGAAGGAAGAGGAGGAGAAAAAGAAGAATAGACTGCATTTATATAAAGCTCTATCCCATACAAGTATAATCTCTGAGTGCTTACACAGAACAATGTGTTTAGAACTTAGACGTAGTCAGTTACATTAGGAATGTAATGGGCTCTTGACAAAACTTATGCAAAAAGGACAGATATTTATCTTGCCTTCATGGTAAACTCATGTTAACAAATTTATTTTTTTAAATACTTTTCTTTGAATTTATATAGTTATTGTATTTGTGGCAATCCTTATCATCATCATTGCTGGGGTACACTGCGTTTAAAAGGGCATTGCATACAACAAACATATCAAGAAAGATGTGGGTGGTTGGCGGGTGCTCTGGTGGGGTTTGCTTCTTCTTTCCTATCAAACATCTATCATCCTTATCTCCCCTTCTTCTTTTTAATGTTTGTTACTCTCTTGTAACACCTCTAATCTCCTGACGCTCATTTGACTTTATGCAGTTGCGAGCGCTGTAAGTCCTCTACTTAAACCCAAAAAAAACAAGAAAGATCTTTTCCAGACTTGTAGAAAAACCAAAGATTAGCAAAAATTGAAAGCGTAGTTTACCCCATCACTGTCTATAGCCGTGGTGTTGATGACAATATCTCCCAGAGGGAAGCCCTCCCCGATGGTCACTTCGTACGGGTCACTCAGGAAGCTCGGCCCGCTTGGGTTTCTGGTGACCAGGACAGTCACGTCAGCCGTCGTGCGTCGATCCGGGTCCAGGCTGTCATAGGCCACAACTTGAAACTGATGAATAAATAAATAGATACACTTATATTATCAGACCGACCTTGACCATCAATAATTTATTTATAGAGGCACCAGCCATCCATGTCCAGGTTCTGTTTTAGCTTCTTTTTCTTGTCTGTGGATTAGTATTCTTTTGTCCAATTTGGTTTCACTTCGATGCACCCTGTATCCATGGTATGTCATCAGACAGACACACAAAGAAACGAGCAAACAAACAGATACACTGACTTGTATCATCAGACAAACAAACAAACAGATACACTAATGTCATCAGACAAATAAACAGATACACTGACTTGTATCATCAGACAAACAAACAAACAGATACACTAATGTCATCAGACAAATAAACAGATACACTAATGTCATCAGAAAAACAAACAAACAGATACACTAATGTCATCAGAAAAACAAACAAACAGATACACTTATATCATCAGACAAACAAACAAACAAACACACTTATATCATCAGACAAACAGTCAACGCAACAACTCACACTTATTGAGAGAACCTGAACAGATGAGTAGCCAGGAAACCCCAGAGAAGTGGAAGAATCCAAAAATAGAACTATAAGAAGCAGTCTGCACCAGCACAAAACAAAAACAACATTGATGAACAACAGAATTTATCTATTTGTTTTAAATCTCAGTGTGCATTTCTAAGCTACTGACAAGACCTCTTGTACCAAACTAAAATGCATTTCTTGATCATTTTCCAGAATATTCTTTCCTCCTTTTATAGACTCATCTCTTTTCTTTTTGTTAAAACTCGGGTGTTTTTACGCTCCCATTGACACATTTAGACAATAGGGTTTGCCAGGGCAGAGAAGGATACAATGCCCCAGAAGAAAGACTGTGATACTCCTTTCTATATCAATTCTCCCCTGCAAGGGAATCGAAGTCTGGTCCCCTGCCTTAACCACTACACCACAGACTGCGGAGACTCATCTCTGATCAGAGACACACTGACTGGAGTATTAACTCTTTATCTCTGACAAGCTGCTCCCAGCGGTTTGCAGTCGGAAATGCTGTGCCGATAAGCCACTGACAGCGGCTCAGGCACATTCCTTTACAACGACTTCGACGTCAAATTATTTTTCAGCAATTGCCAAAAACAGGTCTCTTTTACCAGAGGTTTATTCATTAGCTGAAGAGTTATCAAAATAGGTTCACTTATTTTGATTTAATGACCCATTTAATGACGTTTTAGTCATTTTAAGATTTAGTACCAAAAAAAGGGCCCCAGCATAGTGGGTTTTCCCCCCCACCGAGATAAAGAATTAAGTCAACATTCACTGACCACAATCTGAATCCTGCTGTCCAGTCTGAGGGAAGACTGCAGTGTGATGTCACCACTACTGGGGTTTACGTTGAAGTACGCCACGCCGGGCAGGGTCTGTTCGTACACGATGGACCCCTGGAACGAAACATTTTTTTTAAAACAGTGCTTGAAATCATCTGATTTGTGAGGATATTGTTTTATTTTTTTTTTTTTATAATAAAGGCAGAGGACAATTTTTATTGACAGAGGCAAAAAGGATAAAGACAAAGTTCATACTCAATGGATCCATGGAACGAAACATTTTTAAAAAAAACAGTGCTAAACATACCTTATTTGTGAGCATACTGTTCTATTCTAGGAAAAAATAATGAAAGCAGAAAGCAATTCTTCTTGATAGAGGCAAAAAGCATTAAGACAATGTTCTGTGCACAAAAACATATTGAAGGTAAGCACAAATGACTTTTTTTTACACATTGCGTAGAGGAAGCTAACAGATTGTTGTTTCAAATTTCTGGAATTTAAGAGAATAGTTTTCCAATACATAAGATCAAGAAAGACACATCTCCCAAGTATTTTTCCATCATGGCGATGTGGCAGCTGGCTAAACAAAAGGACCTTGGCCTTGAGGACCACATCCGGCCCATGGGTGGTCTTCTTCTTCTTCTCGATCGCATCCCACTTGAAGTCTGGTATCTGTCATAAATTGGGCTGTCCTGCTCTGTTCATCTGTCGGCCCCTATAGCTTCTCTTGCAGCGTCAGTGGGGTTGGCCACATTTCCTGTCTCAGGGCCCTGTGCGTCTTGCAGAGCTGAAGGATGTGTTCAACAGTTTGGTCCGCCTCTCCACACTGGCATTTTGGTGATTCATCATCATTGCCTTTCTCACCCTGCACCAGGGTATAGGCCACGGACAAACACCTTCCACCTTTCTCTATCCTGGGCTAGCCTCTTGATGTTATTCCATGTCTTCCCACTTTTCTGTAGTGTGTTTCGCTGACTCCTAGTATGTGCAGCCTGTATCTCTTCATCTCTTGTACTACTTGAGAATTATTTCCTGCTTCACACAAGGTGCGAACATTCCACGATGCAATCCGGAGAGACTTGTTCGACAGAGAAGGTTTCGGGTCAGAAGAGTCCTTTCGGCTTTGTCCGCTGTCCTTCATTGTTCCTGCTGATGCAGAAGCTCCTCGGTCTCCCAAGATCGAAAACTAAAAAGCTGTGTTTGTCCGTGTTTCTGTAACTTACTGTTTTTTACTGGGTCGGGTAGTTGGCCCTCTGCAAAACTGGCACTTTTCGGGCGACCAGACCTGTGCACTTTTAGTCGCCTCTTACGACACGCAGTATCACGGCAGGTGCATTCTTTGCTCCCCCATAGTAAAACTACGGGGCCCCCCACCAGCAAGGGAGATTTTGGTGATTGCACTAGATTAAAACATCTGTACATACATATGTTGTCTCATTCTTGTGTGTTGTGTTCTTAGTCGGAAGATAATCACTCATTCTTGGCAGGACAGCTCATGGTAGCTATCTGGTGTCTGAGGTGCTTTAAATAGTCCATGGGTGGTGATCGCCGAGACCTAGTCAAATACATTTCCCTCAAACCCAGTCACATATTTTTGCCATCATCTATTCAAATGTCTCTGAATAATATTCCACATGTTATATTCTAAAACTTCAAATAAAAGCGGTATGGAAATCTTAATCACGTCTGCAAAAAATTGCGACCACAATCAGTATTGGCTTGATTTGAGGAGCAAAGTATTTCAGTACTACTTGGACTAGAGTGAAATGATGGCTAAAAATAGCTTGGTACAGATGCTGTAAGGATTAATAGCAGCAAAATACACACAAATCATCCTGTAGCCTACTCACAATGATATCTCTGTCCTGGGCAGTCAAGGTGAGCAGAGAAACGCCAGACGGTTCCCGATCCTCTCGAACCACAATCTGGTAAGGCAGGTTCACAAACAGAGGGAAGAACTGGTTGCGAACCACAGCCACGCGGGCCGTGATGTCAGCACAGCGTTGTGGGATGCCCTGGTCGCAGGCTTTGAGAAGCAGCTGAGGAGAGGAAGATTTCAGCCATGTTGAACTCAGTAACAGCAGTCACGATTAAAGTAATGAGGAGAAAATAATAATAATAATCGTAATAAGTTCTTAAAAAACAATAGGTGTAATATTTATAATAATAACAATAATAATGACAAAAATAGTAACCACAATATTGACATAAATACAACAACTGCAACTACAAAAACATTAACAATAAGACAACTAATAATAATATGAATGATAATTATTATTATTTTACATTTCTAACATTACAGTAGACCTAATAATAATAATAATAATGACAATAATAGCAATAATAATAATAATAATAATAATAATAATAATAACATTACAGTAGACCTAATAATAATAATAATAATAATAATGACAATAATAATAATAATAATAATAATAATAATAATAATAATAATAATAATAATAATAATAATAATGACAATATCTGCCGCTTTTACCCTTTTGGGTGTCGCAGTATAATAATAATAATAATAATAATAATAATAATAATAATAATAATAATAATAATAACAATAACAATAATAACAAAACAATAATAAAGCAAAAACAACCCTAATAAACAAACAGTACATCCACAGTTTGTGCATGTGACAGAGTGGACGTTCTCACCGTGAACTGCGTGATGTTGACCGTGCTGAGAGGCTGTCTCAGGGTGATGATGCCGCTGACGCGGTCGATGTAGAAGTACGGGGTCAGAGGTGAGAACGGGAGGGCGGTCTGAGACGTTATCTCGTACGTCACAAAGTCCTGAGGAAAAAACACAAAATACAATATAAAGAATAGGACATCAATAAAGCTGATCTTTTGTGTTTTTTTGTTTTTG